GCGTACTTGGTTAGAACAGCACGTCGTGCCTCCTGTCCGTCGTCTTTGGAACCCAAGAAGAAACTCACGCGTTGCTCCTCCGTGTCGATGCCAAAGGCGGCAAAGTCGTCGTTCATCGAGTAAAACCAACTGCGTAACAAACTTTCCACAGGCTCACTCAGACCGGTCAGTATGTCCATTCCAGCCGCGAGAGTGTCCACAAAGCTCCCTTTACGTTGCAGAACTTGTGGAGGAAGAGAGAACGCGAAATGCTGAGCATACTCACCATCCACGCCGCCCACACAGACGTCCTGTGTCAACATCGCGGCTTCCTCTCGAGTTCGGTGAAGGAAATCGATCGCGTTGAGTCGTCCTGCTTGGATCTCCTCAAAGCTTCTCAACACCGTCGCGAGAGTCTCCAGTGCTTTCTTACTCACATCCAGTTGGCCGCCAGTCTGAAGAATCCAAGCACACAGTTCCTCGTACACGTTCGTGTCGTTCGCGTCCACTTCCGTCTCGTCAGCTTCGCGTAAAGAATTAATCACAGACACGACGTCGTCGTGAGATAACTGGGTGGCTTGAGTCACCGCTCTAATAGCTGCCAACGTCTGCTCCAGCTCAGCAATCCGCTGCGTCTTCTCTTTCAGTAACGCGTTAAGAAGAAGCTCATCGCGCTGCACTGAAGAGCTCGAAAGACTCTCTCCATCGCCTAAACTGTCCAAAACTCCGTCCAGAGCTTTCGCATCGTCCTTATCCTTCTGGAAATGTCTCCAAGCCGCCAGTTCTGCATCTGAAGCGTGGACGTTGAAGGGTCCAGCTTCATCACGGGAGACGTGACGGAAATCCCCACTCGAAAAGACCTGAAGACCCGCTGACAGCGCTCGAATGCCTTCCAAGACTCGCATACGAGCATTCATCCGCTTCCACAAGTCACTCGACAGTCGCTTACGTAGCGTCAATAAAAGTTTCTCTTGCTCCAGCAGCGTCGATCCCGCCACGGACGGAAGTGTCTGCATGTCCACACGATCCATTACACGAAGAACACATTCCAGACGACTGACAACATGGTACGTGTCGTCAATGCGCGCTTGAAGCTTCTCTCGTGCAGCTTCGAGTCCTTCGAGCTCTTCCGAACACTTCTTGACCAAAAGTTCGTTGATGTCTTGGAATTTAGTCGCCTGATCCTCTTCGTTCAGTCCCAATTCTTTCCAGATCTCTTGACATCGCTGAGAGTACAAAAATCAGTTAGCCAGATGAAACCCACAACAAGAAAATAAGATAGCAAACGTACGGTCATCAAGCGGAAGGACTCCTCCTTCATCTCCGTGCTCTTGGCAGACGCCTGGAAGCGCTCTAGTTCTACACGCATTGCCTCCACTTGCTCGTCCTTTTCGGCCAGCTGACGCATGAGCATCCGCTCTCTCTCTTCCAATGCAACTACATCGCTGGTGTCTGCTTCGACCTGTACGCGTTTTTCTGCTGCAACGGCGTCGTTAAAACTCGTCACCATCTGGAACGCGCACTGCACGTCCGTCGTGTACTTCTCCTCGAGCGTCTCCACCTTCTCGTCCATACCAGCTTTCAACTGTGCTAGGCTTTGATTCAACGCCTCCTCGGCTTCTCGTTGCTTCCTCAAGTCTTCTTCTTGGTCGCATGCCATGTACATTCGCCACTGCGAGTAAATCTCCACAACGAGCCGTTTGATCACGTTCTTCGCCACATCCAAAGACTTGATCGAGTCCAGAATCTCGCTCATAGACGCGCGTTGATCACGCTGAGCACGCATCGCATCCCGAAGCTGGGCAATACTGTCCTCGCAGTCCCTCAGATCCTGCTCGTTCTTCTCCATAAACTCTTGTTCCGTCATCGCTCCCCGCTCACACGCCATCAGTCCAGTCGTGATGTTCTGGAACAACTGCGCTCGTTTCCGAAGCTCCTTGTTCATGGAAGCTTCAAGAGCTTCTTTGTCGAATGCAATCTACGACAAGATAAGAGTTGATACGACAGGTAACAAGCCCCTGGAAGACAAGCAGAGACGTACCTGGAGCTGACCCTGAATCATCGACACAATCTCGCGAGACTGCGACGAACCCAACTCTTCTTGTGTGAATAGAGGCGACATCAGCGAGATCCCAGCGTCGTCGCATTCCATACAAGCCGCCACTTCTTTCTCTTCATCCTTCAGGAACTCGGAAATGTCGTCGAGATCGTAGCCATCAAAGCGAACCTGCAAGACAAAATCCATCAGCTTAAATACTCGGCAAAGAAGTCCATCCATGTGACTACAATACCTTAATTTCAGTTCTGCGAGTCAACATGTTGAGTCCATTCGTAGCTGCTTCTTCTGGTGCGTCTCTCATCCGCTCAATCTGAGCCTGCTTCGCTGTCCACTCGTTCCGACAGCGCGTGATATCCGTCTCCCGTTCAGACGTCAGCGCTTCTTTCCGACGCTGCATGTCCGCCATCTCGAGATCCAGCAGCTCCAGTTTCTCCACAGCGTCTTCCAAGTTGCGCTCGACCGTTGTTCTTCCACTCGATGCACTTGAAGACAGCCACGTTCGCATCCTCTCCATCATACCCGACAGTCCAGTGCGTAGCAGCTCTTGGCGGTGAAACCGCGTCTCCAAGTTGGCGAGTTTGGCCTTGAAGAGCTCTCTCTGACGCCTTTCAACATGCTGCATTTCCTGCATTTCGAAGGCCGCGTTCATGATTTCCAACGTGCGACACAGTTTACTCAGCGGATACGGCCTCTCAAAGACATCGCACTCCAGTCTGCGCTCTTCCATGATGGCCACGGAGGAGCCACTGTCACTGGTAAAGTCCAGACCTTCGTCCTGCGGCTGACTTCTGTCCGCTTTCTCTTCATTCGAGCTCGCAACAGAAGCAACACGTCGGAGTCTACCGCTCGGCACCAAATCCTGCAGATAAGTCGTGAGGCCGTCCACTAGACGGCGCGTCTCGAACACACGCTCGTCACTGGAGGTCTCCAGTCCTGTGGAAGATGAGAGCTGCTCGATGCTGTTCAGATACGCGAGCACCTTGGGGTTCATCAAGCACGTCTCCACTAGATCCTCTTCGTCTCCCAATATCGCCTTGACGAGCTCGCGACAGAGCAGCTGGTTGAAGGACTTCAAGCTCACCAACTCGGCCGAGCGACTGTCGATGTTCTTGACTGCCTTGTTCTGGATGTTCTTGGCTCTGTTGGCGTACTGAAGCGTGTTTAACGTCTCGTTCGTGTTCGAGTCAGCAGGAGACACACACGCACTGCATACAGCAGCCGCAGAGAAGCGTTAGAGACAGCCCAGTCGCCCCAGTCTTGTACTGTACTTACATGAAGAGAGTCCTGCTGTTCCCACCGAGTGCGTCTTGAAGCAACCGCGTCAACTTTGAAGACCTGTAGGGAACATGGGCATGTGACGCTGACCGACGCTTCTCTTCTCCCAGCGCGTTGATGACGTTGCCCAAAGCGAACAGACCCACGTTGATCTGGATGCCTTCCTTCATCCGTTCTCCTTCCGCGTGGGTCTTCTTGAGCCTCTCGCTGCCCGCGAGATCCACAAACGTGAGTTTGGACACAATCACTGCGTCTGTCTCAGTAGATTCGAGGCCCAAGGCATCGCCAGACGCCTCCGCTGCAGTCTCAGCCGCGTGTTTCTCCAAGTTCTGGTTGCTAGAGACAAGAGGACCCTTCTTGGACCCCTGTTCAGAGACTCGCTGCACGATCTTGACCGTGTACACAGCGTGCGAGCGGCTGGATCGCTCGTTCATCTGCGTACTGGCAGTGATCCGTTGCAACGATCCTCGTCGCATCTGCTCTAGAGCTTCCTGTCTAGTGGCAACGCGCACTTCGGCGAGTCCTTGCACCCACACGCCGTTCTTCTTGTTCTCTCTCAGCTGCAGCGGCTCCGAGCGTCGACTCGAGCCGGAATCCAGTAGGTCGTGGATATCTTCGCCGTAAATCTCGAGAAACGACACCGACAGCTGAAATTTGCTGCCGGAATCGTTGAGTTTCGTGAATAGTTGATGTAGAAACCTCGGGATGAGCCCTTCGTCGCTCTCCAACGTGTCTGCTGCTTCGTCGTCGCTGTCATCAGTCGATGGAGACCGCGTGAATAGATTGCCTGATAGTAAGGACGTGGACGGCATGTGGTTGCCCATAGTGTGGGTCTTGCCGGACCCTGTCTGCCCATACGCGATGACTGTCACGTTAAACCCCTGCAAGAACGACGCCATCCACGGCTGCAGCGCCTCATCGTACAGTTCTGCCTGTGTGGTGGTCTGTGGGAACACGTGGTCGAATCTGATAGTGACAATAATTTTTTAAAGTAAAAAAAGAGAGCAAATTTTTGTAAAATAAAACTTGTAACTTACGTGAATTTGCGCTCGCCCATGGCTCCCTCGCGCAGTTCGATGGCGCTTTCTACTCCTTTCGACTTGTTTACACACGTGGCGGCGTTACGAGCCAACTCGCGTGGCAGCATGGGTCGAATTCGTACGGCAACACGGACACTGCCGTCCTTTCTGGACTTTAGCGACGTCTCTAGCGGCTGCACGCGCGCACCTTCAGTGCTGCTGGACGATCTGCGCTCGTCGTCGTCCGAATCGGTGGATGGGGGGCGCTGGGGCGTTCTAGAGGGCGCTGGCGAAGACTTCATCGAGCGACGCATGGTCCTCGAAGTAAATGTCGTAAGTGCACAACGGATGAGCAGTACAACTTGTTTTCGACCAATAATATGGCGGGAAATGCGATGATTGGTTGCTTTGAAAGAGGAAACGCGAAAGATTTTGCAGTTGCCATGCAAAAGATTCACGCAACTTCCAAACGTTTGCAATAACAGTGGCGCTCTATTTTGCTAAGCTGATATTGCCGATTGCACTCACTCCGTGTCAATAATACCCCATGCAACTACGCAACGGCTAACAATAAATAACCACCACACTTGTTAATTTCACCGCTTTATGATGAGCTAGTGTCCAGAACAGTCCAGGCTTAGACAACAGCTTTTGTCGGCTGTTTCGCTTTCTGATGGAGGAGCTCACGGTGCAGATTTTTTCGAGTGGCAAAAGCCCCGCCAACAGTCCGAAGCGGCATCCTCCGCCACCTTTATCTGCTCGCGTTAAAGTTGCAGTTCGAGTTCGCCCACCCGTAGCCAACAATGAAAATGAACCAGCCTCACTATGTATTTCAGAAACGGAACCGGCAAATACTGGAAACGTGGTCCAGTTTAAGCTGGAAAAAACTCAAAAGTCCTTCCGGTTCGATCATGTCTTCTCAGCCGAAGCAACACAAGCTGGTACGTTGATTCGAGATCATATTAATAATACTTACAAAATTCTAAGCAATTTGCTAGTACAGATGTCTACACTGCGGCCTTGCAGCCACTTTTGGTGTCACTAATGCACGGTTTCAATGTTACGGTGCTTGCGTACGGCCAAACCGGGTCTGGTAAAACCTACACTATGGGAGGCGTCGAAGTGCCAACTGTTGAGAGTGACAACGACGATGGCCTTATACTACGTTTCTTGCGTGATCTCTTTACTGCTTTGCGTACTGAAGTAAGCGTGAGGACGATCAAGATTTCATTTTTGGAGATTTACTGTGACGAAATACGCGATTTATTAGGTGAGCGAGCTCGAAGTAGCTCGCAACACGGCGGTCGGCAAGCCTCTGGTGCTAAACTGACGATCCACGAAGACGACCAGGATGTGTGGGTCGAGGGGCTGCAGCAAGTTGAGGTGAAGAGCGTCAATGAAGCACTGGATCTGCTGAGAACAGGTCGTCAGCGACAGACTGTCGGTGCACACGCTCTTAACGACCAATCGAGTCGGTCGCATGCTGTGTACACTCTCGAAGTTTCACGCACGTTTAACAACGAGATAAAACGCGCCAAGCTGACGTTTGTGGATCTAGCGGGCAGCGAACGTGCCAAAAAGACGTTGCAAGAAGGTCACGGCATGAAAGAGGGCTCCCATATCAACAGTAGGCTCTACGTTGTTATGGAAAGATGGGGTTTGTGTTAACATGACCTTGCTGTTGTTCTGTGTTACTGTATTGAGTCAGTTGGTCTATTAGCGCTAGGGAACGTGATCAATGCGCTGGGCTCCAGACAACGGTCGTTACAGCTCCTAAACAGCCCTCGGGTCAGTAGTCGAGGAACTGGGAGTGGCAACGTCACCCCTCGTCATGTACCGTACCGCTCGTCGAAACTTACACGGCTGCTTCGTGACGCCCTCGGTGGCAACTCGGTTACACTTTTCATGTACGTGAGTTGATTCCTGTTACGCTATTGGTGTCTGTCATTATAAGAGTTGCTTGTGTGTTTTGCAGAGCTTGCGTTTCACCGGAGATCACAAATGGGAACGAAATTTTAAACACGTTGCAGTATGCGAATCGAGCACGTTCGATCCAAAACAAGGCTCAAAAGAATGTGGAGGGGGCTGAAGATGTAATATTCGACGCAGCGTCTGGCACGGAAACAGAGCGTGAAATTTAGAACAAGTGGCAGCTCTCAAGTTGCAATTGGATCAGGCTCTTGCCGCAGCGAAAGCAGCAGAATCTCGTGAATCATCGCGCGCTGATGCAAATAATCATGACATACCGACACCACGTGAATCTCCTAATAGCAGCCGTCGGCTTCGAATCGTTCCGCTGGAACTCGATTTACCCGACTATACAGACAGAATGACTTCAAGCTGCAGCTTACAGCGTAAGCGTGGGCTACTCCAAAACCAAGGTTTCTATCTTAAGTCCTCTATTTCGAACAGCACACGTTCAAATGAAGTCACTACAGAAGAACAATCCTCAATGGTTCCGGAATTACTCACACCTCCCAAAGTGCCAATACTAGAAGTATTCAAGTGCAGTGAGAACGCAACAATCCATTCAATTTCAGAAAAATACTCTCCTCGACTATCCAGCAAAAGAGAGGATGGGTCACTTTCAAGACGAGTGATGATCGATCAGGCTACGCAATATGAACCTTTATGCCCCCAACATGAGCGGAAGACTTTAATCGACTACGTCCTGCTGTCACCAAGTGAAATATTTCGTGAGGTACACAATCAAAAGAAGCTCGAAGGAGCTCCTTCCCCGTGGCCACACCGACGCCGTCAGGACAATGAATCTAGCGTATCAAAAGCCAAAAGTCAGTCACGTTCCAAGACAAGAGACGTGCTTCATGATCTCCTGCAATGTACTCGCCAGCTTGTCGAGAATAGTCCAGTTTTTGGAGACTTTGATCGTAATCCAGAGGTACAAGACCCCAGCAGAAAGGAGGAACAAAGTCCGTTGTCGTTCGATACCTTTGTGAATCGCATGACCGCTCTTTACGATCAGCGAAGTCGTCAGCATCAATTCGTGCATCGACTTCAGCAACGCTTTCGCCACCTCGCGAGTTTGTTGGCTGTTGCAAATGCTGACAACCAAGTGAACGAGCTGTCCAAGTACACTTTGGACCATCAATTCGATCAACTGCAACAACAACTTTCGAGGTTTGAGCGTCTTGCCGCAGACAGACTCTGGACACGTCTGCAAAATCGAGAAGTTGCCATCGAGAACTACACTGCAGTGTGGAACGACCAAATGGCCGAGGTTTTCCTGTCAGACGATCAGTACGAGGCATGTCGACCGTGGCATCCTCACCGTGAGGATCATGGATTTTTCCAACATCGCATTTTGCCTTTTATTCTCAGCGGTTGGATTTCTGTCACACCGAGTGACCTCGACAACGAGCAACTATGGCTTGCATTATGATGCAAATCAAGCAAAAAATGCAAAACAAAAACTCAGTTTGAACCAAAGCAAATTAATTAATTCCACACGCGAGGCAAATAGCAAAAATTACTTGCAGCAGAGTTTGCCACAGCACTTGACGCCACAGGAAGACCGAGCTCTATCTATTCTCTATCGAGTTCTTCCCAGCAACACCACCCCAGTTCCAAGCGGTTCAAACCCCACTTGTTCATTTGCATCCGTTCACACTCGCAGCCTCTATTGTGTCATATAACCCAAAATCACTGGGATAATTGTTAAATTCAACCGAAAAAGCCGAAGCGATCGGGTGCAAACTTGCTCATGTCGAGCTGTGGTCGTTTCCCACTGATCTCATCTGCAAGTAGCGCTCCCGCACCAAAGGAAAGTGTCCATCCCTTGGAGCCATGACCAGCATTCACGTACAGATTTCGGACCTTTGTACGACCGATAAGTGGCACGTCGTCTGCTGTCACTGGACGCCAGCAAGTGTGCGGCTGCATCTTTGCCACATCCAGATATTTGTCCGGGAACAGGAGCTTGGCCTGTGCCAATAGCCAGTCGTACCGCTTCTTTTGGTCACGTGGTGACATTTCGCCCGTCTTCTTTTGACTCACAAAGTCCACGCCACCCGAAATACGCAACATTGATTTGCCCAACGGAGCAACCAGCACGTGTCCGCCAGCGTAAATATTGTGGACCGGTGCACGGAAACCTTCGGCCACTGGCACCGACAGCACGTATCCTCGTACTGGATATATAGCCAGTTTCACACCTGCTCGCTTCGCCACTGGGGCCGTCGAGTTGCCAAGTGCCAACACGAACTCATCTCCTTCAATCAGCGACCCTCTCCGTGTCTGCAACGCAATCACTGACGTTTTGTCCGTCAAAATGTGTTGCACCTCCGTGTTGAACCGAAACATGACTCCTTGCCGCATGCAAAGGCGGTACAGTGATTGGCACATTTTGTGCACGTCGCCACTGGTGCCAAATGCCGACAAAATGGCTCCAGGGTGGTACATTTCGGACCGCAAGGCAGGCTCCAGATTACGAGCTTGACTCGCACTGAGCGGCTGCAAGTCCATGCCCAATTCCGACAAATGGGCGCTTCGGTCGCTCTCCAACGTCACTTCCAGTTCGCTGTGCTCCCTGAAAATCTCGATCGTGCCTTGGGCCGTTTGGTCCATGACGATTTCCCCTTTCTTGGTGTTTGCCTGCAACTCTCGAAGTTTCAACATACTGTAGAAGCCCAATTCGCGGATGGTGCGACTGTGCTCATTGGAGCGACCCTTTTTCGAGTTGTGCCAGAATTGCAGTCCCCATTTCCAGAATTTGGTGTCTCGCAGTGCGGACATCTCGATTTTCATGGGTTTTTCCCTCAGTGGCCACTTGCCACGTGATGAGCGCACGGCAACTGTGACATCTGTGGACGAATTGGATGCAGCAGCTGCGGCTGGCCCTCCACTGACGGTTACACTGTTGCCATCTGCTGACGTTGTGGTAGTCGCAGCGGATGGCGCTCGAGTAGCGGTGTGACTTCGGCCTGAGCTGATCCCCTTGCGCAGATTTGCCACATCCGACCAACTCGCGTATAGGGCTGGGTCCAGGAAGGCGCCGTTGCAGAAACTCACTTGCGTGCCCACGCCTCTTTCCTTTTCCACACACAACACCTCGTGACCCTGTTTTGCCAGATAAAAACACGTCGTGAGTCCGATGATGCCAGCGCCGCACACGATCACGCGTTTGGTCTGGCGGCGCTGGTTGATGCCCGGGATCGGCTCCATTTTCATGTTCTCTGGTAACAGCGGGATACGCATCGGCGGCGGTCGCATGTGCTCGATCGGAGGCAAACGCTCACCCTCTAACGAGGCCACTGGCGGCAAATTGCGGTGTGCCACACTCACTAAATGATCTCGAAGGTGTGGCGGCAACTCTAAAGCGGTGCCATTCGCTTCATCTACGGACGAGGCGTCCGAGTATCCGGACGAGCTGATGGACGCTAGGCGGTCTCGACGAAGGCCTTTGCTCTCCCCCAGTGGCCGCCGATTAGCGGCGGTCTCCATGTCCATAACTGGGTGCAACTCGTCCTCCATGGCGCTGTTCGAGCCCATTCGATCTGGATTTCACTCGCTGGCTTGTGGCAAATGGAAAATGAATTTGCCTCTTGAATATACCTGTTACGAAACCCGTCCGCTTCACTCGCAGGTTGCCTCGCTCAATCGAGACCTGTTGTTCGCCTTCCCTGTCGCTTCAAGCGCTCGCACTTCTCGCTTCTCGTGCTGCGATTCAGTTGTGAAGGGAGTTTGTTGGCGGCCGCAACGGTGCCCCTTTTCTCCCATGAATATTCGAAAAAGAAGGATCGCAGCACTGTCTCGGCCAATCAGCGTATTTTTACTAACGACTGACCACTCACAGAGCGCCATTCCAATCTTTTACAAAGTACAGAAATCAGACACCCACGGTATTCGCGACAACACAAGCTTCAGTGCGCCAGTTCGGAGCTCACACACGACGACACGACTGTAGTAGCGGCACCGGCAATATTCTGAAGCTGGCACCGAGTGGCAACACCAGCTGAGGCTATCGGCACCGATTGTTGCATTTTTGCCCGAAAAGGCTCTGTATCCGGGCGATGGCTTGAAGGGGCGGGTACGAAGACGGCTCCAACGTGGAGACATCTCGTACAATACCAAGTGTATCCGAATCGGATCGGATTCCGATGCTGCAATCGAATATCGACATTTGCAACACCGTGTACATGCACCTGCCCCAGAGCTCCAGTATTTAACACACTTGGCACCACAACCCGGCGATCTGCGCTCCGGTCTTGCTCCATGCGCGCTCTTCTCTCCACACCGGCCTCCTCAAAAACTACACTTGCGAACGAACTTGAGTGGGACCATAGCGCTCGTCATGGGAACGGTCTCGACAGCTCCTGCACGCTGACTGGAAATACCTAAGCTGGTCTCGCAGACCGTCTCCAGCTTGAGCGGCGAAGTTGTTCAAACGATTTTTTGCGTTGATGCATCGTCGTGCCGCAAATACAGCACTTTGATCTATTACATGTATCAATAAATCTGAGTGCGAGTCGAACATTTCTATGGAGCATACTTATGATAATCTGTGTATGCGAGCTTCGTCCTTCCGCGTTGTTGTATTAGTACTACAATGCTGCATCATGCATGTAGTTGGGCCAGCAGCTCTACCTGTGAATGCCCCTGTCCGGCGGTACTGAAAAGTCAGTGTCGATGAAATGTGCATGTGCCTGTTTCAGGGCGGAACTCTTTTGATATGTTCGCTGTGACGTCGGGGTAACCAGGAGTTCGAATAGCCAAGGAAATGGCGAATGCAGTGTGCAAGGGCCGGGCTGGTGCGTTTTCGCCGACCGAGTTTTCGACAACTACATGATAGGCTCGTGTGGTGCTAATGACAGGTTTGCGTTACTGCAGCAACAAGCAGTCGATAGGTGGAGCGGCACTGACAAGGTTCCAAAACCACCACAAAAAACTGAAAAACACCATGCGAGCTGACATCAAAGCATTCGGGCCCACCACAAAATCACAGGCGACACAAAAATCTGTAAATAATCATCCCATAGTGTGTTTCAGCACAAAACGATTCTTTTCATCCAAGCATATGCCTCTATTTAGACGATTTTATCCAATCATATCACAGAATCCGTAGCCAAAAGTACAACTAGCTCGCCCAAGAGCTTGCCGTTTTAAGCGCTCTTTAATTTCAAACAAGCTTCCAACTGCCTAGGCCACCCACCAACTCACATCTTGCACCGATGCCCAGCTCTCACACCTGGAACCTACTCTGCAGCGGCATTTCGTCCGAAGACGCGGCCCTCCTTCTCCAAGGAATGAAGACTTGGAAGACGGTCAAAAGTCATCTGATGCCGAGCACGGCTTGTACCAGCGGTGATGCGCACACTATGCGCTACAAGCTTCTACGCTGCGCCTGCAAGCTCTGTACGGACGTGGTTCCCTACCTGGCCTGCACCTGGCGGATGAAGGTCTTGGTCTGCCAAGATACAGACATCGTCGACATGCACGAGCTAGGCGACCATCATTCGCGTGCGCGAACGCCATCCAGGTCATGCATTACGCCGAGGTGTCGCGAGTTCATCAAGGAGCTCGTCCGTGAAAACCTAATGCCGGTACGCATCCGGCACGCTTTAGGACGCAAATTTGGCCTCCCTCCTGCAGCATTAACCAGCCTGCGAGAGATGCAAAACATCGTACACCACTTTCGGCGCACGCGGCTTGGTGGAAACGACAAGCGCAAGGCGGTCGTGGAGTCGGTGAGGGCCTCAGCATTTAGTGGACGTGAAGGTGACCACGACCCCTTCACGTTCACTAGTGCATACGACACGACTAGCCTTCCTGAGGTTGGAAACGGCTCAGATGCTCGGCCGTTTTTGGTAGGAATGACGACGAAGGCGCTACTTCGTAACGCTGCGAGGAACAGCGGGGCCTGTGTCTTGCACCTGGACGCAACGTTCAAGCTGAACAGCGTCGGGTATCCAGTCCTCGTCCGCGGTATTACCGACGCCTCCAGGGCGTTTCACCTGGTAGCGGTCTTTATCACGTCACAGTTCCAGTACAAGCATTTCGTGGCCGCGCTCGCTGCATTGCGTCGTGTATATGCCCGGGTTAACGGAGCAGAGTGGCGAATGAAATTCGTGCTTGGTGACGCGGACAAGGCACAATACAAGGCCTTCTGCAGTGTTTTCACCGACAGCTCATTTACGTACCTTATGTGCTTTTACCACGCGGTGGCGAAATTGCGTGAGCGTACTCGTGGTTTCAGTTCAGATATGTCTGCATTGGTATACACGGGCATATACAACTTGCATTTGCGCAGAGCGATGCCGAACATGTCGACCAGAAGGCGGCTATGTTGAAGGAGTGGGCTGGACACGGATCTCGCTGCCTTCACCACGTACGTGAAAACCCAATGGCTTGAAGGCAACTTCGCAAACTGGCAGTGCTTTCTGA